CCAAAACTCTCAAGTTATTGGTCCATAGATAAGTGGTGTTAGCCGACCGCCTATTCACTTGTGCTGCTACACCCATGTACTGTAACTAATACTGCTTCAAAGCACTGCGATGATTCACTAAATATAAACTTTTCTGTAACTTCCATAGTGCTAACAGAGCGAGACCAACACTTCATCAAACTGTCACATGTATTGGCGTTCACATCCTGCTTGTGATGCAATAGTTCTTACTAACTCTGCTATTGACCCTGGGTCACTGATTCCCAGGCTCGCCTCTCAAGCTTATTTTAAGTAATGCACGTGTTGTGCTGCTTACTTCTGAATGTTGCCTCTTGTATAACCAAGTTCTTGTTTATTAATTTCTCAAGGCTTATTTCATAACACAGGCGTCCCATTGTCGCCTCCTTTTTCTTTTTATATCTATATTCTTAACTTGCTTGCTTATATTGAAACTCTTAAGCTTTTATTCTAAGTATTTTTAAATATCCATAGCTATTGAAACAATTGATGAAATCTTTAAATGACTTCGTTAAAACCTTTAAATACTTACTCTAAGTACTTTTAAATACTTAAAGCTCTTGAAGCAATTGGTGAGACCTTCGAATTACTTCATTAACAACCTTTAAGTTTTCTCCTAACCACTTTTAAACACTTAAAAGCTCTTGAAGCAATTAATGAAATTTCCTCGAAAATTTCAAGTTGCTTCACTTCTCCTTCCACAATATGGCCACGAAATTCCACTTTCGTATATATATGAATGCACATTTTCCTGTTTCAGTATCAAGGCTGCCTTTTTTGATCCACTAGAAAAATATTTTCAGGTTTTCAGCCACTGTCTTGAACGTGCACACCAAGCACAAAGATGTCATTCCCATATATTAGGATTTCTTCCATTGCAGCCTATTCAGTGTAAGTTCCATTAGTTGCTCAAAGGTTGCAGGAGTAATACACAGGTTGAACAACACGACATGAAACTCATACAAGCCATTTTTATGCTGAAAGCAGTCTTATATCTGCTGTTATTATCCAGCTCGA